ACTGAGCAGGAAAGACCATTTCAAATCCCTGCTGGAAAATATAATTGCTAACTATTGCTCTATGAAACTGAGAGAAAAGAGGGACTCCAGAATCATAAAAAGATGATTATGATTCTGATAAATGATACTGGCATTGGGGCAAATTTAGAGGGGGATAAAATAATAGATTATCAAGAAGTAGCAGTATTTCAAATAGCAGAACGGGCTTCTTTAGGTAGATCCTAATTTGCATTTCAAAAGCTCTTCAGGTTGTAAACACTTCATAATAATTAAAAGGAAAAGGTGGATAAAAGAAAACATCACACCATTTGGCATCTTTATTTCACAGGATTTATTTTATAGAAAATGGATACTTAAGGATATTTAGAGGAGTAAGTTCTGTGCAAGTGTTGATATTGAAGGATCCGTTACACATATCCAATGTTATATTCTTAGAACATTTTCATATAAAATGCATTTCAAAACGTGTTCAAAAATGTCTTTTACTTTAATCAGGAGAAATAGACATCTGTTCCTCATGAACCTTTCTGCTAATGGGTGAAAAAGAAAAAGAAAGCCTACATACAGTTCAGTTTTTTTATGTTATGGTCCACTAAGTTAAAGGAAAAAAAGATTCTGACCATCTGTCACCAAATATATTTAAATTGGAAAGCCATATTATTTTTTAATAGATTAATAGTGGTACTGTTGTAGATGGCAACTCTATCAGTTTGTTAAGGAATAATGTATTCCAAAAAACAATTATTATTTCATGTTGATTCTGAAGAATCATTATTCATTCTCATTTTGGTTTACAATTTCAAGAAATAACAGAGACTTGAGCTATTACACTAAGAACTTTTTTATAGGGGAGGAAAATTCCTTTCATTTGTTAATATATCAAAAATAAAAAGTGTGTAAGGTTTGGATGCTTGGACAAGTAATGTTTTTTTTTTCTTTGTTAATGATTTATGACCTGGATCAATTAATAGAATAAGAAAGCCCCGGCATTTTAGGATTTAGTCTTCTTCCTCAGTAATCTCATGTGGATGGGGATGATATATTTAAATCAAATTCAAGGTAGTTCTACTGTTCAATTAATTTAACTCAATAAGCATGTTTTGTGCCTATTCTGTGAAGTACACCATGCTGAAAATCAAATTGATTATATTCCAGCAATTGATTATAACAATAAAAATAATTTGGAGACTCCTGTACATTTTGAAAAATTAAGTTTGTCAGTGGACCAGTAAAAATGGTCATCTGCCTGTCTTCTAGATGTATGTGTATTTAGGTTTATTTTTAAAATAGTAAAAATAAATTTATTCAGATCTTTTAAGCTTTTAATGAGATTTGATTTAGAAATTTGTTATTCATATAAGCATATATTTCTTCATTCAACATGGAATCATTAAACATATACTATTATTCAGAAACAGTGCCAGGCACTGAGAAATGTTTAAGTCTATTCTCCTAAACAGCTCATGATGTAGAAATAAACAAAAACACATGAAATCTCCATGAGAGCTACCCTCTTGTAATATTGGGGAATGAAGATTAAAAAGTGCTTCTTAGAAAAATGGACTTCTAAATGGAATCCTCAATGCATTTGGCAGGCCTCTACGCATCTGGCAGAGAAAGTGAGGTACTTGTAAGTTATATTCTCTTTTAAGAAGCTTTTAAATGTGAACAATATTTAGGCCTATCGCTTTCTCCTGGTGACTCTTCAGGCTTAATATGCCGGCTTGTACCACATAATCTCATTACTTTTAACAAAGAATTTTGAACTGGTATTGGATGACTGAACCAAAAGCATCCATCACCTGGGCAGCAGTCCAGATAGTATACTGGATAGCACCTTGCCAAACAATCAGAATCCATCTCTTTAGATAATTAATTAATTAATTAATCCACAACTTCATTTTGTTTCAAGATGGACAGGTCTTTTTAAATCTACCTCAAGGTCCAAGGAAGCTGTGAGGCTGAAGAAAGAGGCTGACAAATCCAGTTTCTTAGAAGCATTTAATGGGAACTTATGAACAGAAGCCACATGTATGTTTCACATTAGTGAGACAAGATGGTGGATCCCTGTACCATCATGGTCCAGAGTCAGGGCTTGTTACCCTCGGTAAAGGAGTGGTTCAGAGGGGATTTTTAGGATAATTGAAGTATGATAACATCAATGTTGTTTGACTTGAGGGAAGGATGTACGGTTAGTCTTGCTCTTACACAAGGAACAAAAGATAAACTGGAAATCTTAGAGATCTTTCCAGGGGTAATCAGTTAAACCAACATGGCAGATTAGCTTCCAAGATGGAGTTGCTTTAGCTTCCACACATTTATACTTTCAATAACTGATAATTAATCACAGATGCTAATTTCTAGCACATGGAGATAACTATGACAGACATATATGACATCTTTCAGAAACCTGCAATCACATCAGGTAGCTAAAACAAGCAAATGACTTCATGAGAAATATATACTATTGTGAATCAATTATTGAGCATATCCCTCTATAATACTATAATACTATAATTCTACATATATATCCCTCTAAATAGTATCCTATAGAATAGGGCTGATACCTTAATGCATTAATCTGGATTTAGATGTCCATGAGAGGGGTGCCCCATGATGAATTCTGGTAGAGATAGTATCAAATCCAAGGTTAAGAAAACAGTAATCAGGCGATAGATCAGGCACTCTATCTTAGGAATCTCATGTGGAGACAAGGGGTATGGGAATTGTTACAATCTGAAGAAAGAAAGTAGTTTATCTTGGCTCCAGGTGCAGCATAGCAACAGGGTTGTGGAGGAGTAGATAAGACATGATTCTGAAATGGTAAGGAGTGCCATTTAAAGAAGAGCCATGAGTAGCATCTTGGAGCTTGGGTTTATCCAGAAGATCCTGAGAAGCAGTTAATCATTTTAGAAAAAGGAGTGTTAGAATCAGATTTTCATTTTTAAAATAGTACTTGGGTTGCAGCACAGGGTATATGTTGAACAGATAATCAGTTACAAGTGTAGTAGTCTGCCAGTAATTTATGGAGTAAGTAATGAGGCCTGAACTAGGGTAAATGTACATACATTCCAATGATATGTAGGTGATGGAACCATTGGTTGTTGATGAAATATGGTTTAAGGATGAGAAAGAAAAGCTAAAGATCATGACTAGAATTCAAGATTGAGCAATTTGGTAAATTCTTACTAAGAATTACAAAAAACAAATGGGAAGAGATGTTCGGTTTAGACTGTACTGGGTGTGTTTGAAGATTATCGGTGAAGCTATAGAAAGTTATTTATAAAGAAAAGGAGTTCTGAAAAGAGATCAGGCCTTAGAATTTCTAAGCTCTTTGGAAGTATATAGTTAATTTAAGCTATGGATGAGATCACATCACTAAAACAAAAGAAAGTTGTAATGTTGAAGCAGACGTGGAACAAGAACCCAAACATCACCAAATCATGAACAGAATAAGAAGAGCCTAACAAATAGGAGCAGTAAAGAAGAGGAAGGTAATAAAATAGGAGAGCGTGTTGTCCTGGAAACTGAGAGAATATACTGAAGAAACAGGTGGTCAAAAGTGGTCAGAAGCCACTAAGAGGTCAAGTAAGAAATAGGAAATTCTATTTAATGGCTTGAAAAGCCATTCTTGGGAGCCGTTTCATATTCTTCAGAGTAGTGGATGGGTTTGTGTTTAGAAGCTGGAAAATACAAGGGTGGTGGGGCTGTGAAGTGTAAATGTATTTCTGGGGATATTTTACTTTTAAATATTAAAATAGGGTTACAGAGGTATGCTAAGGTATATGCTCCCCACCTTTTATGTGGTAGGCTTGATTAGGTTTTCTTGCATATGGACAGGGAGAGGGAGAAACTGAAGATTCACAGAAGAGTACTAATTTTAGATTGGAGAAGGGGAAGTTCTCAGAGGTACATAGAGAAAAGGAGGCAAGAATGTGGTGGACTTCTGTTTTCTCTGTCCAGAGGAAGCACGGCCAAATGCTGAAATTGTAAAGAGGGATAGTCAGGATCACACCTCTTAGCAGAGAAAAAAGTTTGAACAATAAATTGGGGAGACAATAGTAATTAGATGGATGGGGAGAGACCTGTTGAAGCTAGCAACAGCGAACTGGTAGCATTAATCTGTATGGTTGTGTGATCTTTCTGGCAAGAACAGATGCTTGAGTTGATTCAATTTCTTGATGTTTCTGGCCTAAAGCAACAGAAGGTAATGGGGTAATGAAGCTGGATTTTGAAGACAGTAGTCTGAAAAGATGAGTCCCACAACTCAAACAAGATAGGTAATAAAGTGAAGCAGAAAGTTTTTCATGGGTTCAGGAAAACTAGAAGAAATAAGGTTCTAGTTTTAGGAATCTGAAAAATAGATATAGTGGAAAAGACAATGTGAGAGTCACATCATAGTTAGACTGGGATCAGTGAATTTAGTTTCTCAGAGATAAAGCAGTTCTGGATTTTGACCAGGTTTTGCTGTGGCAATATGAGTGGGTAGTCAGTGCAGTCTAGAGATTAAGTTCATTAGAACTGAGAAGATCAAGGATGCAAGAAGGAAAACGATGAGATTAGACATTCTCAGGGACACCATAGTCATTCAGTATTATTGCAGCTACTAGCATGAAAAGACCAGCCATTTTACTGGTCTGTAAATCTTCATCAGGAAGAGCCAAGGCCCTTTGGGACAACCAAAAGTCAAGGGCTTCTAATGATGAGCTGTTTTTATAAGAAGATGGATAGCTAAGGTCTGGGGATAACACTGGCAGAGAACAGGTCTTACTTCATTATTCTGAAACTAGTGGGCTGCAGGAATTTTTATTCTGAAGCTGTGGAGACTGGGTTCAATTAAGACACAATGGTGAAACAAGTATTTGGCGAAGACAGAACAAGAGAGTTTTTAAAATCATGACATGAAACTTGAAATTGGCAAATAATGGAACTAATTTGTTCAGAGAAGGGGAAAGGGAAAATAATGTGTATAATGATGAAGAAAAAAGAGATCACAGAGCATGGGAAATGATCATCTCTTGCTGCTGACCGACAGTAACAGTGTATGTGGGCAGCTTGGTGTATTACTCTGGTCAGACAGTTGCCAAAAAATTCTGTACAGCTATTACCAAGGATTACGGGGCACTCAGTCTTCACAAGAGTTGCCTTTGGCTGGGGATGACCACTCCTCTCAGGTGAGGGAGGTAACTGTAGCTCTTCGAAAAGATTGATGAGTAAGTAAGAGATATACCTGGTCTGTGTGCACTGAACTTAGAAGGCAGAGCTTGTGTTTTAGAGGCCCGTGTCTGATGGGGATGATGATGCATTGCCTGGGGACAGATACAGAGTGCTACCTTCTGACAGAAGACTGATGAACTCTGTGGCTGTGAACTACTTAACTGTTTTCATGTGGTCCCACTCTTATATATTCAAATATGCATAAAATGTAGAATCTGGGTAAAAATAATTTTTTTCTGAGCATTCACAAGTTTACATATGATATTTTCATAGGAATTTGACTATGAGACAAGGGTGTGTCAGTTTATTCAATCCCCATGTGATGCTTAGTCAGATATCAGGGCCACTGAATAAAATTTGATGCTAAAAATTGTAACTAAACCTATTTAGTGACATGCAAGGGAACTAGAACACATGAACAGTGAGAGTTGGTGGAAGAGTCTCCAAATTTTCTGTGGGGTCCGTAGGAAACCCTTTATCTTGTCCAATCTCACTCGAGTTACTGGCTTTTTCTTAGACATTTTTCTTTATGTTACCAGACTCACTGGAATTCCAGGCTGTCTCTGGACCATAATAGCAAAAGCCTCCAAGATGGTTTGAGACTCTGCTGTTACCAAATAATTGTTAATCAAGTAGTGCCTCTTCAAAATACTCACTCTTCCCCTGCTATTGTGTATGTTCCTTTTGCTCTTATTCCTCAACATTTTCTACTACCTGGAAATGGTTTATGCCTGCTAGATGACCTGAATTGTATTTGAGTTCCATTTAGAAGTCAGCTAGAAAGGTTTATATTTTTTAGCATGATTTTCAGCCACAAATTCACAATAATTCTAACCAGAGGCAATTTCTAAGGGAGGAGGGTTGCAGATAAGGCAGAACCAAATTTTTTTCTCTCTCTTTTTCTTTTTAATCTTTAGCATTTGAAAGAAGATTATTACATTCTTTTAAGTATCACAACTACTGGACTAAAGTGGTAATTCATCTTTTTGTTTCAACTTCGCTACAGATCTTTTGTATTGTTTTGTAAACATCTGGCTTTTAATAATCGTATATAATGATTTTATATAAGATCTAAGTAGTAAGTAAGAGCATTTCTTCATAAAAACGTATTGAGTTAAATGTAAGTCTGATGTCTTCAAATGGTATTTATAAATTGAATAATCTTCTTATCAGTTATTATAAAGGTTAAGAATCTGTTCTATAAATAACTTGAAATTTAGGAGGAACAATGAATTATCTTTTCTTAAGAACATAGCAATTATCTGCTAATTTCAAAAATTTTGTTTCAGCTATAAGAAAAAGTAATTTTGGCTATGTCCTTCCCTTTACTTAGCAAAACTTAATTATCTCCTCAGTGTTGAGTTTAGGTGTGGTCCAATATTAAATAGATTTTGGCTAAATGAAAATAGAAGAGAAAAATTAATCTTTTCAAAGCAATTATTCAAGTAAAACAATTTGTAATTTCACTAGGGTTGCAGTTAGCTATTTTCAGAACCCCTGCTCAAATCAGCTTATAATATGCACATTTGTGTTTGCCTGATTAATAATTAGACCACTAAAATAGCATAAAATTAACCAAGTATGTACTTCCTCAAACTCCATTAAAAAATTATTCTGTGGTTCCATATTTTTTCTTGGTTATAAAAAGATTAAAACATTTAAAATGTAAAAATATAAGGATATTATTTTACTAATTTCAACAAATTTAAAAATAATTTTTACAAAGATTTTTGTAAAGCCTGTTTGTATTTAAATGAACTTCATATATTTTCTTTCTCTTTTCCTCTTTCATTGGCAATGTTATACTTCTTGTCCCGTTTTCTGAGCTTTATATTTATAGCAATGGCATATCTGTTTCTTTCCTCACATGATAGAGGAAAAACTTTCATATTCAACCATAGAATTTTTGGTCAAAATAATTTTAATATTACATATTCATATGTAAATGCATGCTCAAAAACTATACTCGTATCCAGAAAGGCTACTAAATTCTTGTGAGTTTTTTTTAATTACTTGAAAAAAAATTAAAAATACATAAAAAGCATACATGTCATTATTTAATGAATATATTTCATATTTACCTGTCACTATTTAATGAATATATAAATAATAAAAGGGATAATCTCTACCTCCTCCCAGCCAATCCCCCTCACGATTACCCATACTACCAGAGTAAACACAGTTAAAAGTTGGGAGTGGGTCAGAGACTAAAACTTTTATTGGAACCAATTACATTCTGAGCATGTAAATAATAATTGAGGTTGTGCTCGCACTGTCATGTTTATAGTCCATAAATCCTGGGTAAACCTAATTTAGATTCCAATATTTTTATACTTTCTGTAGTGAATATGTTAAAAAGTTCAAAATATATACATAGGAAAAATAGGCAGATGGAACCTAGTGTTGGGGGAGTCATACCAATTAGCCTTCAACCTGTAGCATTTATTTTAGTCTTTACTTTTTTTCCCTCTTCTCTTATCTCACTTGACCCTTGATTTTTTTTAACTCCAAACTCCCATCTGTTCTACTCTGCAGCTCTTTCAGTTCGACATGCTCATTTACTGGCTATAAACTATTTTCTCATATTATCTTCCCCACTTGGCCTTGCTCAGGTGTTGATGACAGAATGGCAGCCACTCAGCCCAGCCACGTTAATTTTCTAACAGTTCTCACCCACAGTCTTCTTTAAGGGACTTCTTCCACATAACAAATCTCACACTCTGACTCCCACTTTTGGACCCAGGGAGTTGGTACTTGTCTCTAGGTGACCTCTCTATTGAACAGTACCTATGATGTCTTTCAAGGCTCTCCCTAAAGTGGAAGATGCTAATCCTCTGGATAGCCAGATCCTATTTTGCATAAAGCTGAACTGGAGAAATTGGGTAACAATGTTATAGATGAGAAAGCAGAAAAGATAAAAGTGTACATTTCAAAACGGTCGAGAGGTATAAAGAGATCTAGAGTCAAGTTCATCAGGCTGTCACTTCCTGAAGGATGGCAAGGTAACCTAGTTGTCAGACTTCCGAGTTCTTGTTCAGAGACTTCCTAGTGGTCAGACTTCAGACTTCCAGTGCTGTTAGATCACCCTAGCTCAAGGCACTTTATTGTCCTTCAATTCCGACTTGATTGTTCAATCTTTCCAGGATTCTTCTAAGAAGTGGCTGAAATATTCCTGTCTATGATCTTACACTAGACTAGCACTACTTAATGTAACCTAGATGAGTCTCTCCATTGAAACAAAAAAATTTAGTCTTCCTAACTCTCACTTGGTAGTTGGTCCCTTTAATTTGGTCTCTGGATAACCTGCATAAAGCATGTATATAAATAACTACCATTTGACATGATATGGCCTATACTTCCATCCTACTTGTATCTTTTTAAGTATCTAATCAAGAAAAAAAAACCCAGATCAATAATAGTTTGTATTACACATAATAAAGTTACAGCATACTATATTGTATCAACAGATACCTGAAATGTGATTTAAAATCGTTAATCTGCATTCTTAAATATTCTATGTTGCAGAGAAACAGCAGAGAAAGGTTGAAAAGTGCTCTTTTCTGCAGGTTTGTGGTTCAGTATTGTTGCTTCTGAATTTTAGATTTATCTAAAAAGCATGGGGATAAAAAGGTTAATGACATATTATAAAGATCTCAACTAATAGAAAATGTGAAGTCAAATTTGCCTGTCAGATGAGAAATCTACAATCTCTAGCTATAAAAGGATTTCAGATTCTGAGTAATCTGTCTAGACAACTGTAATTATTGAAAGTGAAAATTATTTTTCTTCTAGTGTTAAGTGTAAAGTTTTGTAACCAAAAAATGATTATTACTTAGCATATATACATTACTGCCATTTTAAGAGAGGTATTATACCAAGGGAAACTGTTTTACAAGCATATATCTCACTGCTTGGTAGATACTTCTTTTCTTTGTTTTTGCTGGATTTAAAAACTTTTAAAATAGTCTTTGTTTTTCTTCCTACAAATTCTTTATATATAATATATATACATACACACATATATATACACATATACACATATATACATACACATCATATATATGTGTGTATGTATATATATGTATATATATTATCACATATATATACATATATATAATTTTTTAAATTGCAATTTAGGTTCTGGGGTACATGTGCAAAACAGAACATGCAGGATTGTTGCATAGATACACACATGGCAACGTGGTTTGCTGCCTCCATCTCCAAATTATCTATATCTGGCATTTCTCCCCATGTTATCCCTCCCCAACTTCTCTACCCACCATTGTCCCTCTCCTATTCCCCCCAACAAACCCCAGTGTGTGATGTTCTACTCTCTGTGTCTATGAATTCTCATTGTTCAATACCCACCTATGAGTGAGAAGATGTGGTGTTTGATTTTCTGTTCTTGTGTCAGTTTGCTGAGAGTGATGGTTTCCAGGTTCATCGATGTCCCTACAAAGGACACAAATTCATCACTTTTTATGGCTGTATAGTATTCCATGGTGTATATGTGCCACCTTTTCCCTGTCCAGTCTATCATCATGGGCATTTTGGTTGGTTCCAGGTCTTTGCTATTGTAAACAGTGCTGCAATGAACATTCATGTGCATGTGTCCTTATAGTAGAATGATTTATAATCCTTTGGATATATACCCAGTAATGGGATTGCTGGGTCAAATGGAATTTCTATTTCTAGGTCCTTGAGAAATTGCAACACTGTCTTCCACAACTTTTGCACTAATTTACACTCCTACCAACCGTCTATTTGTTACTATTTCTCCACATGCTCTCCAGCATCTGTTGTCTCCAGATTATTTAATGATTGCCATTCTAATTGGCGTGAGATGGTATCTCAATGTGGTTTTGATTTGCATTTCTCTAATAACAAGCGATGATGAGCAGTTTTTCATGTTTGTTGGCCACATATATGCCTCCTTTTGAAAAGCGTCTGTTCATGT